CAAGATGTCCAGTTTCAGTCCAGAGTAGGAAGTTAAAAGATGTCCAGTTTCTGTCCAGAGTAGAAAAAGTTACAAGATGTCCAGTTTCAGTCCAGAGTAGGAAGTTACAAGATGTCCAGTTTCAGTCCAGAGTCTGAAAAGTTACAAGATGTCCAGTTTCTGTCCAGAGTAGGAAAAGTTGCAAAATGTCCAGTTTCTGTCCATAGAAGGAAAGTACTGGAAGGATCTTTACAAGATGTCTAGTTTCAGTCTTGAGTTGTAAGAGTACCAGAAGGATCTTAACAATATGTCTACGTTTCAGTCCTGAGATTCAAGAGTACTAGAAGGATCATTACAAGATGTCTAGTTTCAGTCTTGAGTTGTTAGAGTACTGGAAGGATATTTACAAGACATCTAATTTCAGTTCAAGTAGGAAGAGTATTAGGTAGAAGATTGCTGAAGTTGTGCTTTAAGAGAAACAAAGCTTGTTGCTCGTGTAAACAGAGCGATGTCATGCTTCATAATCAGTTACTTGAAAGGAACTTCATATTGATTCCATCTCTAAGACTTAATTATAGAGTTTGGCTTTGTATCAACGTTCTCTAAGCAGGGTTAGTTAACAATATTATAAATGTTTAGGTTAGGTAAGATATGCGGTCATATTTCTGTACATGAAATAGAACAGTTTGCCACATATTCTAGATTTTTGGCAACTCGTACCAGGATGTAACACTGGGGTATATTATGAAGACAAGGCTGGGCTACAGTAACGTTGAGTATAGTATAAAGACAGAAGGTTGAGGCTCCATTTTCCCCCTGTGTTTGTACTTTTCCGGGATTGTGTTGAAAGCCACATCCCCTAAAACAGCTGTTCACTCCCTCCTCTGCACTACCAAAGTTATTTTATGATTAAAATCTCGATTGTGTAGGTAAGGTAAGGTAAACATCTAAAAATAAAAATTGGGCTTGATACATATTTGATACGTTTAAGGGTGACTTGTATTTCTTTGATAAAGTAGCCTGTAATTATTTTGACAAAATAAACTCGAGCTGGTGTGATGATGCAGTACAGGCCCTTGGTAATGTACCCCAAGCTCCTGTTCCCTTTAGCTGTGTTTCTTTTGAATGAAAAAAATACACAAATCTTGCCCCAGGGAAACATTTTATCATACGTCGGGGAAATAGGATATTGTTTTCACTTTGGATTTGATCTGTAATGTTTGCAGGGTATCGTATGACTCTCCATACACTCGTAATCATTGGAGTGCTTTACGTCATCCTGGTAAGAGGCATCCTAAAAGTGAAGTAGTTTTTGTGTAGTGATGGCATCATACTCTTATAAACCATCAATTTCTTGTCATCCTTCACTTGTCATTATTGATTTGAATTCCAGATGATAAATACTTCAAATTTTGAAATTTAAATTTAAACCAGCGTTAATTGATCAGGACATAGATAGATCAGTTCCCAAGATGTCAGTTGATATAATTAATTTTGCACATTACGCCATGAAGCAAATTTGTAGTTTTTGTTATTAATAGAAATTCCTTCATATATCTATATTTCTCTATGACCAATGATGTCATCTCTTACATCTGGTGATGTTTCCAATGACGGTTTGTATTACATATGATGGTCCTCTTCACCCAGACTGCTGTCTGCCTACTCTCTCATGTATATACCATGCCTGTGGTTTTTTGCCACATTTGTCTAATATCCAATCAATTATGTCGTATTATAAAGTTATAAAAAGGCGTGCCCTAGTTATGTTATTACACCCCCTTTCACTGGGAGCAATTTTTGGCATGGGAGAAAAACATAGAAAGCATAGTAGTATGTATTTCAAAAGAAAACAGAATTACCTTCACTAATTGGCTGGGACAGGTATGAATTATGGGAGCACGGGTTTCTCACCTGGCCTATCGAGGCATCATTCATTGTAGGATATTTATGTAAGAAAAATTTGTTTTCATGTACAAGTAAAGAGTTTAGAGGCTAATTAAACACATGTGGAGGGAAAGGGAGGGGGAGCAACAGGAATGAAAACATATTAATTTTGCCTTCCTGGTTGGCTGATGTGGAGAGAATCACAACCATCCTCATAGCCTGTGATCTGGTCGAGAGGAAGGAATCCACTATGTGGCTTCCTCTCCAGTCATCGGTTGCCATGACGATGGTGAGATTAACAGACACATATGCTGGTGCAGTCAGACTCCTGTAAGATAATATATTTTTTCCGTCATAGTAAGAATATTTTAGCATTATCTTTCACATTTCTTATACTTTATTTATATGATTTACAAATGCAGAATTCTTGCGGGAAGATTGTAAAAAATGGTCTGCCACAGGGAGAATGGTATCACATACTCACGACATGTAAATGACCACATACTTAATGCATCAATAGTGCGGGTGAAAATGTGAGGTAACCTCCGATTGGGGAGCGTTTTATGCATGTTTTCTTTATGCATTCAGAGAAACAGAAAACACATCTGGCTTGAGATAAACACTTGATAATTCTGAGAGACGGTTCCTCAAGTGTTTTCACATCTGGGATTGGGTCGCTTCCTATACACCTGTAGACCATTCCTAAATATTAGCTAGTCTTCTCTGTTAGCTCTGCATCACATACTTTATTTAATCAAAAAGTCTTTAAAATATACTAGGGTTTAAATGTGGTGACTTTGCTAGAGTTTAAATTTGCCCAGGTTTAAATGTAACAGTGTTAAATATATTTACTTTGCCAGGATTCAAAGGTAACAGGGTATAAGAATGGCAGGGTTTTGATGTACTGTTTTAAAAGTTCTATCTTTTTCAACTTTTAATTAACTAAAGTTTAAATATGTCAGAGTTTAAATTACTATGGTTTAAATATGCTAGTTTTGCCAGGTTTAAATGTGCCCTGGTTTAAGGGTTCCAGGGTTTTAAGTATATCAGGTTTATAATAGGTACTAGCTTTGTCAGGTTTTATACCAGATTACACAGGGTTTCACAGAACCAGCATTACCCAACACCTAAATAAAGGAATTTACCCAACAATACTCTGACAAAGCTTTCTTAAAAAATATATGTCACACCATGTTCCCACGGCCCAAGTATCATCAGAGGGCAGTAAAGACAAAGGCACAATGGTATAAGCTCCAGAACAGAGAAATGTCGAGGGAGTTTCTTTAGGTTAGAATTTTAGGTCAACTACCCAGAGCTAGAGGGCCATTCACCTCCATGACTGGTCTGCTGCCTTTGATGTTCCTATCCACTACCAGAACAATCCTGCTTTTGTTGGTCTCCATCTTATCAGAGTTTTCTGTAGAGAAGGGCAGATGACAGGATTTCTCATGTAAACATTTGATTAAAACCTCTTCACCTTTTTTTCTTCTAAATTTGACAATTACTGTGCTTCAAACAGATTTAATTGACAGCTACCATGGTAACTGGTTCCTGGAGTGAGGGGAATACCCTTGTTGTGAAATTTGACCTGGAGGGCTGGGGAGAACTAGGGTGTATTGGGAAGTAGATGTGTGATTTTTTTTAAAGATAAGTCATGTGGATGGACAGCAGAGTAAAAGAAAACAAGATAATTCACCGGGATATTTATGTTTTAAGCAGGAAACATTTGTATAAATGACAGTTTAGAGGTATATTTTCTCCTATTTATGTCAAAATCTATACTAAATGGTACCAAAGGATCCACTTAGTGTTTGTATATGAGGCATTTAAAGATTGACCTCATAATCCATCACCTATCTTATTACAGGTCTTCAACAAGTGGCCAGTTAATTAGAGATCATTGTGGGTCATCAGAGGTCATTGGAGGTTGTGGGTCAGTGACAAGGAACCAATTGACATATGGGAAAGTTCGTTGACTTTTCAGGTCAAAGTGTGCTATGATTACAGAAACTAAATCTTCGTAGCTTGTCTGATTTACTGCATTGTAACAATTTAACTTAAAATCAATGTTGACAGCCGGGCAAGTTTTGTTCTTTAGAAACCTTGCGTTAACTATGAGGAAGCTAGAGGAGCCCTTTTTCTCCCTACCACTTCCTAGGATGTCATTTAAGCATCTTATCAGCTTTCTCGTAATATATGGCAGAAAACGTAGATGTGAGGAAATGCTTGAAAGGAAACCAGCAATACATAACTTTGAGTAGGATTTGAAATTACAGAAAGCAAAAAATAGAATTCCACAACACATAATATGAAAGAGCAACAGGAATAGACTTTGTGTAGACATTATCAGTAGGTCTGTGAATCAATCTTTATACTGCCTCATATCATTGCTGGCTTTACCGGTACACGTGTTACGTAAGACCAAACGTTTTTAATACCCAGAGCTTCGAATAATCTTTGTGAGATTTCCCAGAATACCTTGTAATCTGTGATCCTTTCATTACACCGAGGTCCCTAGGGGTCGAGCAAACTACAGCCCTCCACAATTATCCCTGTTCTTACATATATAGCTCTGATTGGGCGAATTATCTTGGCTCTGCTGAACACATCGCCTCAAAAAAGATGGAAGCATAGTACCACTGGATGAGTTGACAAGACATCCCCAGGGCACTAATATTGGGTTTTCTAGCAAGGTGCAATAATTATACAGCTTAGATCCAACTCTGAGTGCAGACAACACTAAATCAAGCATACAAATCAAGCCTTTCTGTGATATCAAAACTGTGTTAGTTTTACCACTTTTCTACCTGATTACCTCCGTTGGAATCAACTAGTCTGTAACATAGCGTGTCCGTCGACCTTGCCTGTCCCTAACCGTCAACCCTTGCCTGTCCCTAACCGTCGACCCTGGCCTGTCCCTAACCGTCGCCCCTGGCCTGTCCCTAACCATCAACCCTTGCCTGTCCCTAACCATCAACCCTTGCCTGTGCCTAACCATCAAGCCTTGCCTGTAAAGGTCAAACAGTTTGTTAGTTTGCTTCTTTCAGAAATTTTTAAGCAATTAAAAGGAATTTTCCTGTAATAACATTTCTATTGAGATTTAAATTATGTTATATTTTTTTTCTGTTTTCCAGATTATATCAGCCGTCATCTCGGCGACCTGTAGCCTTTTCTGCCAGCACAGAGATGGGTCTAACTGACATAGAAATGGCGCATGGTTTTGAATATGACGATGCTTATTTTGAAGAGAGAGGGTATGACATGGAATATGAGGTAAAAAGAAATCAACTATTTTTATTTTATTTTAGGACCATGATGTTTTATCAGCTTGTTAGTATATTTATGTAAAAGGTTCCCAATCATTTAAACCTGTAAAACATTCCTCCACTTGCCAAATACTCCTAACACCGATTAACCTATTTAAACAGGCCTCCACTGGACCTTACTGTTCACTATTGGCAGACTTCCTGATTACACAAATTTAGTTAGTATGAACAAGTTTTCAGTGGGATCTATTAAAGGTTTCGTTTGTACAGGTATCCAGATAATTCAGGTTTAATATCCATATAAAAATATACAATGAGGACCTAGTTCAAGGTCTAGTTTATACAGGTCCAGATTACAAAGGTTCACATTACATGATAAACAGAAAGACCCAGTTGAAGGTTCGGTTGGTATATAAGTGTCTGGATTGTACAGGGTTTAATTTAAATGGATTACATCCAATGTATCCAAATCTGAATATAAGCAAGGTTTATTTTCTCTTATCCAGTCTTATTTTATTCATACATCTCTTTTGAGAATTAGTAATTATCACAGATAAGCAAAAGAAATTAAATGGACTCTTTTTAGGCTTTGCCATTTCATATGATATAATATGCTATATGGTAGGCCTGATGTAGCTTGATACTTTATGTCCGAGAAATATTTGAGATTTCTGTAAATGAAGTGTCAATAGTTCAGGTTGGTAGAATATCCTGAAAGTGTTACTGGTTTTAGGGCAGTTCTAGTGTAGGACAGCTGAGCGTTACTATTTTACAGGCTTTAGGATCCTAAAATAGTTGATAGTTGGAACGTGGTATCATGCTTTTCTAGTGATATCAGAATACAAATTGCAGAAGTAACATCTGCAAACCTGAGGAAGAGCATACCAGGTATATCATAGGAACGTTTGTAAGGTAAACAATACATATAGATCTGGTAAAGCACCTTGCTGAAGTCTGTGTCGGGAGCGAGAATCTGCATCTGAAGCACGTTTGTTTGGAACATTGCAGAAGATTGTTTTGTAATTTAGCCATGATGAGAGGTAGAGGAAGGGAATCTGGATCACAAGCATGCTTGGAAGTCCTGTAAATACCCTGTTTTGTAATTTGGCCCCAGTGATAGGGAAGGGTACAGATGGTGTTCTGGTGTACTGTACAGAACATTGATGTAACTTGAAGGGTGGCTGTCCATCTGTAATCCTGATCAGATGTCCAGGAGCTCATTACAGTCAAACTGACCGCTACCCAATGGTCAATCTTTCTGGCTGGACATGACAGACAGACCTTCTAATGCTTGTTCCAATCATAAGCATTTAGACTTGACCTTTGGTCAAACTTGTGTCTGACCCCTTTCAACCCCCTCTGTCACTGGTGTGTATCCCCCAGTGACAAACATGTGAAAGATCATGATGAACACAAAAATAGTTGAACATTGCTGGAATCACAGTACATAGCCATGTTGACTGAAATATTGCTGAAATGTGTTGGCCATGGTGGTCTGTGATGACTTCTGGTCCTGTATGTTGACTGGTCATCTAGACCCAGCATGTTGATGGGTCAGTATTGTGACATAGCTGTGGGGTGTGTTGTGGAGGAGTTAGCAACAGATCAGTGGAGTATCTGCCACCAGTACCCTGGATTCTCTCAGCACCCTCATTGGTGACGCCTGCCTGTAGACAGCAGCCATGTGGAGGGCCATGATGGGGAACAGGTAGAGGGCAGCACTTGTGCCAATAAGCAGATAATTATATTTCATCACTGACAATTGGGTAAATTAGCTGAATCAGCAGTCTGTTCACAACCAGGGGATTACCCACATGAACATAATGTGAGCTTAGAGGGGGCTCCATCAACTTCCCTTACCCCATCATAAAATAATCCTTTTATCATTATGGAAGCATGTATGATACTGAACTGGGTATGAAGCATTTATATTTACTGGAGACCTGCCGGTAGGTAAATGTCTCATTGGTTTTTAGCTATACGTAAGCATTTAGTTCAGACTTGTATATCTGGTGAAGTTATTTAAAATTTTCAATCTTGGCAGTTTCCACTTGTTTTTTTTTGAAAGACAGATATTTGCACTGAGGATGTGTTGTTTCAAAGTCTTGCAGAAAATTGGCTACATCTAAACCATGAGTTCCTATTAAAAAGGACAACTTTTAATCTAAACAGATTCATTACCCAATCTAAACAGAGCTGTGATTCCATCAGAAATAGTTTGTCAATCTCAGGCATTTTAGAAAGTTTATGTTGTGTTTCTTTACTGGTTTACAGATCATTTTTGTCCCTGGGAATCTGTTCCCTTGGTTATTTGTCTTATTGAGGCAAGCTATCCAACTGTGTGGATCACTTAGAGAAGGTTGTTTGCTGGTTTGAACACCGGTCTATGGTAATTGGACACTGCATACTTTTACTGCACTGGACACCAGAGATTACCAATGACCAACATGGCCGACAACAGTTGCTTGGTTACATAGGTTTGCTATGTAGCCTTCAGTAGACCAGAGGGACTAAAAGACAATAATTGAATTAATTATCGAGATCAATACTTCATTAGTCCAGTTCATTGAACATTTGGTTGATGGACCGTTTAGGCCGTTACAACCAAGCGAACTCCTAAGGCATCAGATGACCAAGATTGTCCACCGCAGAGTCAATTAGACGCTTGGAAAGCCAGACCACCATAATGGGTCTTGACAAACAGATGCTTTTTGGGTAATACAAAATATATGCAATAAGGCATCTTACTGTATAATTATTTTTCACAGGAAGTAACCTCATAGTCTATGGTTTTATTCCTCAACAGTATATACACAGTGGAAATATTTCTGCAGCTCAATTCAGGAGACGAAAATACAGTATTTACTGAAGTGGCAATGAAGATTGATAGGCAGAAACTTGATAGCAGTTCATCACAGTTTTGACAAGAATAAGTTTTTTTTATGAAGGATTAACTCATTCCCCCTTGAAATTTTATAATGAACTATTCCATTCTTTGAATTGCAAGAGTTCAAATGTGACTTTAAGGGTGAATGGGTTAAACCAACAGAGGATAACGACTATGATTGAGAATATTATAAGTAATATATGTCTGTCTGATAGTTAGACAATAGCAGGACTGAAATGGAAAACAAAACAAGGACTTGTCATACTGTAGCGTGTGTAATATTTAGACTGACTGTAGTGAGGAGTGGCAGTAACAAACACCTCCTGAGCAGGTTAGGAAATGGAAGATAATGTAACTCTCCGCAGTGATTTACACGTTAAAATGGGTGCCCTGCCCTGCCACTGATTTGTAACTCGATGAGATAGGAATGAATGGGGAAGCTGCATGCAGTGCATGGTGGCGATGGAAACTGCATTTCCTGATTAAAACACAATTTATTGAATCAACACGTGCAGTATTTCAAAGCACATGCATTACATGTCTTGCATGAGCAGGTTTTCGTTGTTTGAATGTTGGAGGACTTGAAGGGATGAATGATGGTTTGTAATGAAGTATGAGAATGATTTCATTTAGAAATCATCAATTTGTGATAAATTTAAATACAGCATTATGTCAACTTGTTTTATTGATTTTAATCAAGTGCACCAGTTTTTTTTAATTAAATTAAAAAAAAAAGGGAATTGAAAGTGAATTTTGTTCCCAATCTTTATCTGATATCAGCATATTGAAACTGTAATTGTATTGCTATTTTTGGACAAAGATAATCGTTTTAAATTTATTGAAGTTTCCTTGAGTAATACTTAACACATTTAAGGAGATACCTCTGATACTATAATGTTGGAAATAAACAATATTTTCATCTTAAACTAAACTTTGTGAGGTTTATTTGTTGGTGCACAGACAACTCCAATGCATGAACACTGGTCATGAAGCCAGCTTTACCATGACAGTATAACCTAATTTAGAAGTATTGTAGAACTGTAAAATCTAAATTTGTCACCACTCTTTACACTTGATGAAGGTGGTAAAGCCAACACAGCTGATCAAGTTCATAACATATTCAACAGAGGTCACACACACAAAAAGGACTTTTCAAATAGTTTAGATCTTTATGCCTTTGAGGTCTATACCTGAGACAAGGTGACGATTAGTATCTCCTCCTCATCAGGTGTTACTATCATTAGAAGTATATGTAAAACATCAAATAAGAAGGTGATTTCAGCCAAGATAATTAGTATATGCATTGGGAAAACTCATATCTGAGCCAAACTTTGTTTTCAATAATTTGGAGTCTGGTGTATCACTGCTTTGATCACTCAAAATTCTCTCCACTACCTCACTCAAGTCTGTGGCCTTTTGAAACGCTTTCTTTAGACTTTAAATGCATAAAGAGAATACATCCTACTTAAAAATGAAAATTTTGATTGCTGTTCTCCAAAAGATTAACGTGAATATATAGATACACACTGGTATTTATAGAATTCTGAGTCCGTCCAATGCTTTGAATTTACAAGATCTAAAAGATTCCAAGGAAACATACTAATAATGACCCAGACATTTAGACAAGATTCAGAATGGTTACATTTGACATCAATCATTTTCAATACTTCAAAAGTGTACCACTTTGTCTGGGATTCTCCCCTGACAAACCTGTCACGGCTGCAACAGCTGACACGGCAGATTTCAGAGGCGTATCAGACAGCCAGAAAATACAAAAACTTAAAAAGTATTATGTCGGAAACGATTCAAGTTCTGTAGACTTGCTGAATTATGGGTAATTATCTGTTACTTGGAATAGAGCCTTTCAGTATTGAGAAAGATTTAAGAAAATAACTTAAGTTCAAAATCTACCAATCTAAGTATTTAAGTCACAAACTAATGCTCATTGGAATACCCCTGCCTTTAATGCTGTTTATCAATGGGACAGAATATTTCAGAAGTACTTCCAAATTAATTGGGATATGATCGGAACTAAAAATGTTTTTAGGGAATGGGCAAGATTCCATGTACAGAGGCAGTCTGTGCAGGTATCTGTGTTTTTCTTGGATACTGCGGGTGTG